AGCCCTGCTATAGTGGTGGCAATTCTTGAGTGGTGTCTGGGTTGAAGAGGAAAGGAAGCTAGAACATCTCAATTCTGCCTAAGAACTGTGAACTAGAGACTCCTTGTCCTTACCTCACCCCCACCCAGGGGAGACCTCACCTCCAATCAGTAGGGAGTCTTCTTGGCCCTCTGCTCTTTGTCTCCAGCCTTCAGTCTGTACTCCAATGCACCCATTACCCAGGGCATACCATTTTCTTTGTGTTGCCCTCTTTTGTTTAGCAGGAGGACAAAGGGGAAAACCAAAGCCTGGCGGGATAGCAGGTCTCATTAGAGCTTCAAACCTTACCCCTGCCCTTAATACTCCTAAGCATAACCACACTTCAAAAAAGAGGGGGAGGGGCTGAGGCTGTGGCTCAGTGGTAGAGGGCTTGCCTAGCATGTGTGAAGCACTGGGTTCGATTCTCAGCACCACATATATAAGTAAATGAATAAAAATAAAGGTCTATACATCTAAAAAATATTTTTTTAAAAAGAGGGGGAGACTTGGGACCTGGTAAGGTATGTCCTTTTCTTTTTCCCCATCTGATTTGCAAATGTAAGTTTGTGAAAATCCTCCAAGGGGGTATAGCTCAAATTCTAAAATAATCATTTGCTATATTCACTACTTATATGTGGTCAAGAATTCAGATAGTGCCTGGGTCTGCAGCTCTGTTAGAATGCTCACCCAGCATGTGCGAGCACTGGGAAAAAAAAAAAAAAATTGAACAGGATGGTTTGTGTCTGCTCCACAGTATCTGGACATCAAAAGGCAGGCGGTAACTTGACAGCTGGGTACTGAAATTACCCGGGGGTTTGCTTTCCCAGGTGTCTGCTTGAAGCTGGTTAACTAGGACCTTAGGGTTGTGAACCAGAACATTTATATAACCCAGGGTACCTCACAACATCACAACGTTGGTCATAGGACAAGCTGGGTTCCAAAAGCAGGCATCCTAAGAAGGAGCCAAGCGGAATCCGTTCTGCCTTTCCCGACCTAGCTTTGGAAGTCCCATGGTGTCAAACGTGCCACATTCTGTTTGTCAAGGCGGTCTCATAAACTTACCAATTTCAAGGTGAAATTGCCTCCACCTCTTGACAGGGGAATAGCAAGGTACTGGAAATATGGCCAGTTTTTGGAATCACAGTCTGGCACAGCCTTTCATTTTTCCCTTTGAAACTAGTGGACACCTCCAAGGAAAAGAAAGGATTCCCCAATACTGGGATTATTCTAGGCTGTTTTCCTCCTCAGTCTTGGCTCCACAATTTCTCACTGCCCTGATAAGTTTTAAAATGTTTTTCTCGCCATGCATCACTATGCATGCCTGTAATCAGCAGCTCAGGAGTCTGAGGCAGGAGGATTGTGATCTTTTGAGCCAGCCTCAGCAACTTAATGAGGCCCTAACCAACTCAGTGAGACCCTGTTTCTAAAAAAAAAAAAAAAAAATGCAAAAGAGGACTGGGGATGTGGTTAAATACCCCTGAGTTCCATCTCCAGTGCAGAAAATAGATAGATAGATAGATAAAAATGTTTTCCAATTTTTCTAGTTCTCAATGAGAAAGAATTGCTACCCAATCGCCCAGTCAGAGGAAAGACTTGGCCAGTTCTTTCAGAATGTACACAATAAAAAAATCTCCAACCCCAAAGCAACATACCACCTGTTTCTTCTACAAACATTAAACACTGTACGGCTGTCATGAAGTTTTAAAAATATGTGAGAAATACTTTTTAATAACAATGACAAATGTATACAGATTACAACCTCATTAAAAATGTGTGTTAATGTGGAGAAATATTGGAATTGTCTATGGAGAGAGTTGTTTGAAAATCAAAGGCAGTTTTTAAACTTTTTTTTTTGTAAAGTTAATCTCTGATTTTCTTTCCAACTTTTTATTGTAAAAACTTTCTCACCTTTTTTAAAAAATAATTTTATTAGTTATTGATGGATCTTTTTAAATTTTATTTATTTGCTTATATGTGGTGCTGAAAATCGAACCAGAGCCTCACACATGCTAGGCAAGTGTTTTACCACTGAGCCACAACCCCAGCTCCCAACTTTCACCTTTTTAAAAAAAACATTTCTTTTTCAGCAGAACCCAGAAATGTTCTGCTGAGCTACATCCCAAATATCTTTTTCAAATATTTTATTTTGAGACAAGGTCCTGCTAAGTTGCCTCCTGCTTCAGCCTCCCAAGTTGCTGGGATTACAAGTGTGCACCACCATGCCCACCTAATAAAAAGAATTTTTACAGCAAACACCTGCATAACTGCTGCTTTGATTCTCCATTGACATTTTAATATACTCAATTAATCACACATTATACTAAATTAATCGTTTTATTTTTGATGCATTTCAAAGTAAGTTGCAGAATCAGTATACCACTCCTTAATGACTTCAGAATTCATTTCATTAACTGGAGTTCATTATTTGTACCTTTTGTCTTTCAGGCAAAATCTTATACAATGCAATATACAGATATTGTGTACATTTGGTAATTTTTTGACCAATGCATGCACCTGTAGTGATATTTAAAAATCAGAACTGGAGGGTGGACTTTAGCTTAATGGTAGAGTGCTTGCCTAGCATGCATGAGACTCTGGATACTGCAAAAGAGAGAGGGAAAAAATCTGAAAAATGGAAAGTTCTCATTCTGATTTTTGTTTGTATATTTATGTATTTTGAGGCCCTAACCAGAGCCTCACACAAGGCAAATGCTCTACCACTGAGCTGCATCTCAACCCCTTTTTCTAAATCTTATTGTTCAATTGATATTAGTGTAAAATGTCTTCTACTGTGAGCAAGTGAATAGCAGGCCTGTGCCTATGATGTTGGCCTGGGCTGAGAAATTGTTCAGTGGATGGGATTGAGGCAGAGAATCTGAAAGTATTTGTCATCCTAGATTAGGAATATTAGTGGCAGTGTAGAATGAAAGTCGGGACAAAGGCTCTTATAAGACACATCAGGGCAAGGAGGCTGCCTGGCTTGTCTTTTAGATATAAAACTCTAGCAAGTGACCATTAGGACAGGGGCCTAAAAAGGCACTTGGTTCACATTTACTTCAACTTTCTATCATATTGACTTGCTTCATTTTCATTACAGCACTTAGGAAATGTTCTTGTTCGTTTGTTTATTGTCTGTTTCCAGAATTTAAGCTCCTCAGAGCAGAGGCCTCTTCTGACTTATTCCCTGCAGCATCCAGCACATGGTCTGTACTCAAGAAGAATTTGTTGAGAGAATGACTCATTGTTCTACTTTCTAGATGGGGAAAGGAGGCCCAAAAGAGGGGAAGTGACTTGCCTAAAGGAGGAAGAATACTTTCAACCTCCAGCTGTCCTTCTAGTTCAGTCCTTTGCTCATGAACCCTGATTGTTGAGATACCTATGGGGTGACTGAAAAGTGCCTACCCCTCTGTGTACCCCACGGGCTGGGTCTAAAGCAGAACTGGAAGCAAGAGGGCTGTAGCTTCCCATTTGGGTGGGCCTGGGTCTGGAAAGTTTGTCTCTCTCCCCTCCCTCTCTGTTTTTCTCTTTTCCTATCCTTTCCCAAGACAACCCATAACTCTACTGAGGGAAAGTGGGTTGGGGGGAGGGTAGCTTCTGGACACTCCAGGAATTGGGTAGGATGTTGGGCTAGGCAAGTCTCCACAGGTAGGCAGCGAGGATGGGACTCTGTTCTTTTCTGATGGAAACAGTCTGTGCAGTTCCTGTACTGAATCTTCCTTTCCACAGTCTCCAAAACCCTGCCTCTCCTGGTCTGATGTTCTATGTCACCTCTGCACACCTACCACAAATGCTTTGATCACATTGTGCTTGTCTCATGGGGGTGGGAAGAAGCGCTTGCATTTCCTGAGAATGGGTTGCTTGCCAAGCTGTATGTGCCTATAATTCTCAGTACAGCACTGGGAGTTTCCAGGAATAGTAGTAGAGGGAGGCTACCAGAACAGGACAGACTAGAAACCAGGAGTTCTCGAACTGTCACACACAACGGTAACATTTTCCCCAGGCGTGGTCAGATGGGACAGGGGTTCTTTATATGGTCTAGATGGGGTAGGGGTTCTTTATATGGTCTCAAGGATGACAACTTTTAAAATTTTTTTTTCTTCAGTGCTGGGGAGTGAATCAGGTCCTCACACATGGAGCTACATCCCCAGCCTTTTTTTATTTTGAGACAATCTCCAGCCCCAAAAGTTTCTGAGGCTGGCCTTGAACTTGCCATCCTCCTGCCTCAGTCTCCTGAGTCACTGGGATTATAGTCATATGCCACCACACCTGGAAATAGCTATTCTAATTAATAAATATAAGTTGTTTCCCTGCCCCTCTTGTGGGTCCATGGTGAGATGCTGTGTCTGTATATTCTATACAAAGTGCTTGTCCTTTCCCTTTGTAAACTATATTTGATGTGGATTAAACCAATATGAACAGCTTACATATATTTATAATATATATTTAAGTAGCCAACCCCTTTTATGTTAATATAAATAAATTCAAATGAAAATAAATAAAAGAAACATTAAGAAATAAGTGTCAGATATAGATGAGATAAAACCATGCTGGTGTGGTTGCTGCACTCCTAGCTACCCAGGTACTTCCTGCACTTACAGAATTTTTCAAGATTTTTTTTTTTTTTTCATACTCTTTGAGTTCCAGTGCAAGTTCTGGCCTTGCACTTTTCCACTTGGTGTGCTTTTCCATTTGGAGTTTGAACTTTCCAGGAAACACGACTGTTGGATGTGTGGGTGGTGCCCTCATTGGCTGCCCCAGGGGTCTGATATTTAGGAGACAGGACAGTGGCCTCTGGGGCTGGGGCTGGGTTGTTTATCCTATCTGGCAGAGGTGCCTTGGGTATCTATCTCATTGATAACTATGTACTCTGGCTCTGCTGAAAGGGAGCAAGAGTCATAACTCAAGGAGGGATTTCCCTGCTGGGGAGGGGATGGTCTGAGAGAGGCTCACCGCAACCCAGTAATCCCAGACTGTTGCTCGGGTTAGCACATACTAATTTACTCCACAAATAAATGGGAGTGGGGAGGTGCACTGAGTCCACTGTTGGTGCTCCAACAGCTGGGCCTAGGGATGGAAAGGCATCAAGCTGGAAACAGCAACTGATGTGGGCTCCTTCTCCGGGGGCAATACGTTCTTATGGTACCCTCCCCTTCCTTGAAGAGTCGAGGCTGGCCACAGGCTTTCCCTGGGGCGCTCCAAACGTGGGACTCTACCAGTCGGTTGTGTGTGAGGGGATCTCGGGGTTGGCCAGCTTGGAGGAGAGGCCTGCCGCAACCCACCCGGGGCACCGCAGGACTCCGGTCTAGGTTGAAGGATCCCCCATAACTCTTCTTGTGCCCTGCTGTGTCATCTGCTTCCAGCCACACGCACGGCGCAGACCACCGAATGTCCAGAGGAACCCGCTGGTGACCACACCCCAAAACGTTCTACTTGCCACCTAATAGATAAGATTTAAATTAACTTGAAGCCACAGATGACCTACCTGGTCCTGCAGCACCCACAGTGCGGCGCCTGGAAAACCGCTCCCGCCATCGCACTGACAGATGGCTTCCGGGCGCCACACGAGGGACGTGATGCCCAAGGCTCCAGGAAGGGGATCCACACCCCGTCCCTGGGTGATGCACATCCTGGTCCTCTCCGCACTTTGATCCTCTCCCCCGCCCCCCACCCCCATCCCCGGCAGGCCTATGGCAAGAGGTAACCCCCGCCCCGCAGAGCACCACGTGTAGTGTTTTCACCCACCTCCATGGCGGACCAGGACCAGTATGAGCATCTCGAAAAACGGGGAGATTTCCCTGGGGCTTGGTGGAAATGGCGTGGATTGGCTTGATGTAAGACGGCACCCACGGAGCCAGGCACGATCTAGGTACTTGGCAGGTTCCTCTCTCCCTTCAGTGAGATCCTTCGTCCTTTGCTTTGAAGCAATTAGGGACGGTGGGGAGCGGGGTGGGAAGGACGACGAAAGAACCACTTTTGAAGAGGGTTGGAAAGAGGGCTTTCGCTAGGTATTAGCGTGACTTGTGCCTGGCCTCATTTTTCCGCCTCTGTAAGCTGGGAAGAAGGCTCACGTCCAGGGGTCTGGGGACTGTAAGGAAGCGGAAGACGGAGGTGCACTTGGCAGCCGGCACTTCTGAAACCCAGCTTTCCGAGAAACATTGCGCCGCGGTGGGGCGAGCCTCTCCCGGCCTCTGAGATTATGATACCCGACTCCGCGCCCCCGGCTGCCAGCAAGCTCTCGGAAGCGCGCAAGGGCGGGGCCCACGAGGGCAGGAGACGCTCGTTCGGTGTCGACCAACCAGCGCCCGTCTCTGAACGGCCAATGAGGACGCGCCTTACAGCTAACACCGGGTCGGGAGCGAGGCTGCAGCGAGTGCGGCGCTGACAGGGACGCGCGCGCGATCCAGCTCGGACCCCAGGCCAACGCCGCCATCACCGCTGCCCACCCAGTCCCCCCCTCCGCCGGTTTCCCTCGCCATGGAGGCGAGGCCGCCGCCGCCGCCGCGGGGCTCCGGGCCGCGGGCCGGGCGGCGGCCCTGAGGGCGAGTGGCGGGCCGAGACGCAGCCGCAGAACCCAGGCGGAGGCGCCGTCCTAGTCCCCAGTGGTCCCGCCCAACGCCCGACTTGGTGAGTGTTGTCGCCGCCGCCCGGGTGGGCTCCGGAAGCGGGGGCGGCTTCGGGTGCGGGTGGGAGGGGTCCCCGGATCCTCCTTTTCCCGGTAGAATCCCTCCGGCTTCTGCAGTCGGATCCGGCATCCCTGCGCAGTGGGGAGGGGGAGGGGGGTCCCCGGAAACGTGCAGGACTGGGCACCGACCCCTCTCGACTGCCCTGGAACTTTGCGTGCGTCCTTCTAGCGCCAGGCCAGGGCACTGTCGTAGTTCATTCTGTAAGAGGAAACTTAGAACAGCGAGAACAGCATTTGCTCTAGTTCATTTAATAGGAAGAAAGGAAAACTCCGGACAGGAGAAAATTTTGCTCTTGCAGTGACCAACTTTTCTTTTCCTTAAAGCCCCGTGCCCTTCCCGGCCGCCGCCCGTCTCCCAGGCTCCCCTCTCTGCTGCCTACTCCCAACTGTTGAGGATGCTTAGGAAGGTAAAATAGGGACTCAGAGCTGCTCAGAATTCATAGTGAGCCACTTGAGAATACACATCCCCTCCCTTTTTATTTCCGGGAAATTAAAAATTCTTTAAAAAAATTCTAATATATTTCTTGAAAATAAAAATTGTAATGGCAGAATTGAACCTAATGTTGAGGTTTTGTGTGTGTGTGTAGTGTGTGTGTGTATTTTGTCAGTGATGATATTGTGAGATAGGAAAACAGGAATATTCAGATCCTTTTAGGCAGAGTAAATGTCTTCAAAAGCCTTTGCCCAGAATAGGGATTCCTGCTCTCAACCAGTCATATCTCCCCAGAGATGGTTTTACTTGCCACCTGCTAGCTGTTGAGGCAGCCAGAGAACCAGAAGATGGTGGGTGAGAGGAGGACTGAGTAGGAAAGGCCGAGCATCTTCCTGCCTGGCCACTCCTTTCAAAAACACAGATCTGATGCTGTCACTTGTTTACTTAAAACCTCCTTCTCTTTCTTTTTCCCATGGGATGAGTGAAGCCCAAAATACCTTATCAGGTCAACCAAGGCCCTTGACACTCTTGCCTCAACTTACATTTTTACTTTAGACTAATCTCTCAGTTCTCCTTTCCTTCATTCCCTCCCTGGCTATTCAGAGCTTTTTGACCACTTCTAATGTTGGGAGATTTTTATTTTCTTTGATCCTCTTCCACCTGTCCCTGCTAAGCTCCATGTGTTTCTTTAAAACTCCCCTCTCACTCACTCCCCCTTATCCCCCTCTTCTCACTCTCTCTCAAACTCCGGGGAGGGCTGGGGTTGTAGCTCAGTGGTTGAGCGCTTGCCTTTCACGTGTGAGGCACTGGGTTCGATCTTCAGCACCACATACAATAAATAAAGATATTGTGTTTATCTACAACTAAAAAAAATGTATATCCTGCCCCCCCCCCCCCTTTTAAATTTTGAAACAGGGTCTTGCTAAGTTGCTGAGGGTCTTGCTAAATTGCTAAGACTGTTCTCAAACTTGTGATCCTCCTGTCTCAGCCTTCTAAACCGCTAGAATTACAGGCATGCTTCATCCTGCCTAGCTAGCTCTTTTCATTTGAGAAGCTTCTTAAGGGCAGGAGCTGTGTCTTGTTCACTTTTTCTTGTTGGGAAAATTCTTTCCTGTTGTCTCCTAGATCCTTTCCCAAAACCCAAGATAATTTTTCACTTGTGTTTCCTGAAGGCCTGCTTGGAGTGCATGCCCAGGACTTTTACCACATCTGATTTCTTATCTTCTCATGTCCATCCTACCCAGACCCCATAAATATTCATCAGTCAAGAATCGGCACTTCCCACATCCCACTGACTTCCAATCTGCTTGACTAAAAGGCCAAAAGCCACTCATTTTTCACCTCTGTCTGCCTAAAGTGATCTTACTCATGTGTATTGATGGGTACCATCAATGATCCCCATTGGCTATTCACTGTATACCTTGTAGCCACTTATTTAGCATGTGGATGAAATACTGAACCAGAAAAGCAAACCCTCTTACCTAACTATATTCCTGGGCCTTCTATTTGCAAGGCTTAGTGCTTGGGATACAAAATGAAAGTGATGAAGTCATGCCCTTACCTTGAAGGAGTTCACTCTAGGGCAGGGCAGGGAGATGTTAATAAATAATGGCGTTACAGATATTACTAGAATGTAACAATAATCTGTTGTTTTTTTACTTGCCTGTGACAGGGTTTACGTGAATTCTCTCATTTAATTCTTTCAGTGTTGGAAACTGAGGCCTTACAGTTGAAGGTATAGTCAGATAAAGTTATAGTCAGGATTTGAATCTTGATAGTCTAGTTCCAGAACCTCTGCCAGGTTGTGCAGGGGACATTCCCTCTTTCCTTAGGTGGGAAAACTTTCTTGGGATGGGCCTTTAGTCCTGAAGGGTGCATAGAAGTTTGTGCATGGTGGACCGTGCACACATAGGAAAGAGAGCAGCACCAGCAGGCTTGGAGGGAGAAGGACTTACTGTCCTTGGGAACTGGGAAGAGGTTAAACAGGTGATTGGGTAAAGTTAAGAGGGTTGGAAGATGAGATTAGGGTCAGCTTGAAGTATATGTAGTGTGTTTAAGTTTAAGCACTGGAAGAGTCACTGAAGGAAGAATTTAAAGGCAGTCAGGGACTTTGAGTGGGCTTTGTAAAGGTCACTTGGGCACATTTGAGGCTAATGCTGATACCTGTGCAATTTAGGAGGCAGTGACCAGACCCTACCCAGGTAAAATCATATCCTTTTAGACCCAAAGGAAGGTATAAAGAGAATTCTGCTCAGTTTTGGGAAAAGATATTTAATGAGTATGAGAGAGAAATTCCAGCAGTATGAAAGGGTATTTAGAGAAACAAATTGCCCCAAGTCTCTTGTCTCCTAACCTCTTCTCCAGGGATGGCTGAAGTTTCCAGTTTGTGACCCTTCTATAAACACTGTTCCTTTATAATGCTTCAACATAGAACAGATTCCACCATGATACAGACCAGTCACACCTTTTAAAAAATTAACATATTTAGGGCTGGGGATATGGCCCAATGGTAGATGCTTGAGGCCTTGGGCTTGATCCTCAGCACCGGAAAAAACAAAAACAAAGCATATTTAGGAAATTATTTCAAATCAGTACCTATAGAATTGTTCATTCTTTGTATTGACATTACCTTATTTTAATGTATGACTGTGTATTTGCACATGTAGCTTTATGTATTTATAAGTAGTCTTCATGTTAAACATTTGTTTCCATATTTTTCTCTTACAGCAGTGCAATACAAAGTACATATTTTGTTATGAGCTCATGTATAAAATTTTCTGAACAGAATGCTTTTAGAAGTGGAACTACTTGGTCAAAAGATGTGTCCATTTTTTAATTTTAAACGTGGTCAAATTACCACTTTTTGAGGTAATTCTGCCAATTTATTCTCTCCCCCAAAATGTGAGTGTGTCTCAATGGATTGTCATCAGAATATCTAGCAGGATCACCTGGATACTTTTTCAACTTCCACATACCTACCCTTCTCTTAGCAGCCACTGGCACTCATGTCATTCTAGCCTATTTCTTTTATTTATTTATTTAAGGCAGCGTAATGCATTACAATAATACACATATAGAGCACAATTTTTCATGGTTGTATACAAAGTATATTCATACCAATTCATATCTTCATACATGTACTTTGGATAATAATGATCATCACGTTCCACCATCATTTCTAACCCCATGCCCCCTCCCTTTACCTCCAACTCCTCTGCCCTCTCTAGAGTTCGTCTATTCCTTCCAAGCTCCCTCTCCCTATTCTAGCCTATTTCTTTTAATTTACTGAGGGCCACATTGAGGCTCAGAAAGATCAGAGTGACTTGTACAGGAAAAGCAGTGTTGTGTGGTGATGGCTTATGTTTTGCAGCTCTGATATTTGTGTATGACCATTATCTTTCTGGAGGCACTTAGCAATTTGTAAACATTGTTGCATTATTTTTCTTTATGTGAAAAAAATGAATGCAGGTAAAGTTGAGTTAATAGCTGGGAAGTTGGCCAGATATAGAATCTTGTTTTTTCAGTTCCAGCATAGTAACTAGTAAATGTTTTCAAATGCTAAAGGGAAGAAATTTTTTTGTGTGTGTGTGTGTATAAATGCAACAAAAATAGCAATAATATAATACAAAGTTAATAAAACTGAGCAGAAACTCACAAATAACCCAGTGTTAAAATTTGTTTTAATATATTTTCTACTGAAAAGATAATCCATTAAGTATAAAATTATATTTACTCTAAATTTATCTGTTTGTGTCCGTGTACATTGATTTTTTTAGTTGTAGTCAGTACATACAGATAATTTTTGAATTGTTGAATAGCATAAAATATTTTATATTTACTCATTTATATATCTTTATTGTTTTAAAATTATAGTATTGCATGCATCAACAGCTGTAGTTTGTACAATCTTTATTTTTTCCTTTTTTACCGTTATAATTGGTACTTTTATAAACCTGAGTGCCCTTGTTCAAATACTTCTTTTTTTTTTTTTTTGGATTATTTTCTTGGACCCTTACCCCTCCAGTATGCTCACTGTATCAGAGGAATATTTTATTGCTGAATTGTTACCTTTAAAGGTTGAACTACTTTACAACACTGTCAGCAATTTTATATGGCCCTGATTCTTGACAACACAGCCAGTGCTATCACAAACAAAAACCTAATATTTAATTATTTTATTAATTTAAAAGAAATGTTGATTGAGAAAAGTTTAATTTTCTTTTCTTTTTTTTTCCCCAGTACTGAAGATCAGACCTAGGACCTTGTACATCTTAGGCAAGTGTTCTACCACTGGGCTATATTCCCAACCCTTTATTTAAAAAAAAAAAAAATAAAAAAAATAAAAAAAAAAAAATATATATATATATATATATATTTAGTTGTTGATAGACCTTTATTTTATTTATTTATATGTTGTGCTGAGAATCGAACCCAGTGCCTCATACATGCCAGATAAGCCCTTCTGCTCAGCCCCAGCCCCCTCAACCCTTTTTAAATTGATTTTGAGAC